TCCTCTCCTCTTCCTCTTCTCTTTTTCTCCTCTTCCTCCTCCTCTTCTCTTCTCCTTCTGTTCTTCTCCTCCTCTCCACTCCTCTGTCTCTTCCCTTCTCTGCAGGACTTCTTTATTATGAAGATCTCAATACCCCCGTGGAGCTCTTGGAAGCCAAGGCCATCAGCCAGGTGGTGCTCCAGGTGATTGAGCAGATTTTGCCTGGGGCGACAGTCACTCTGACCGGAGGATTTAGGAGGTGAGTAGATTTTGTGGGATTCATTGTCCAGTTTTGAAATAAATGATCACCACCCGCCAAAACTCCCAAGAGAAAATGGTGGTAATTTTATTTACTGCTTTGCAAAGAGTAGTTGCAAACCACGCTACAGTGGACACACCTTAAATCATGAATATGGGGTTGTTGTTTTTTAATATATTCCCTATTGCCATTGCAAATTTACCTCCCTCCTTTTCCTCATTGGCTTAGTACTCACAATAATAAGTAATAATTTAATACTTCTGTCTGAATCCAGCCGATGGGGGTCGACGCAGCAACAGTTAGCACTGTTAATCATGTTAAATGCCAATAAAAACAAACTTGGCCAGAAATTTGTTGCGACAGTCTGTCTGTCCCCAACAGAGGGAAGCCGTGTGGCCATGATGTGGACCTGCTCATCACCCATCCTTCCGAAGGTGAAGAAATGGGACTCCTGCCCAAAATCATCAGTAACCTGGATAGGCAGGTAGGCGAAGATTTGAATGCAAAGTGGTAGAAGAGTAATCTTAACGCGAGTGGAAGCAGTGTAAACGTGCGTCGGTTTTAAAAGTTGCCCCGAGGTCCCAGATCTGCAGGGTAGGACTTGCCAAACAGATACAGATTAACAGAATTGGAAGGGACCTTGTAGGTCATCTAGTCCATTGAAAATAGGCCGCGTGGAGGCTCCTGGGAGGGGCAGGGCCAGTGTTGAAATACCGGTTCACGGAACCAGCTGTAACTTTAACATCCGGTTCGTGTGAACCGGTTTGAACCGTTAGAATCCCACCCCGGGGATTTTACAGCAGTTGTGAGTGTGTGAAAACTGGCCACGAGTCGCTTTTTTTTCATTGCCGTTATAACTTCAAATGGTCACTAAACGAACGGTTGTAAGTCAAGGACTACCTGAAATCTGTAGGCGTGATTGGGATTCTCTCCCCTCAGGGCTTCTTGCTGTATCACAGTTTCCACCGAAGTAGCTTGCTCTCCCTGGAAGACGAAGAGCTGTGGGTTAGCGGCGGTTCGAGCACCATGGACCACTTCGAACGCTGCCTTTCCATCTTCCGCCTCGGGGACCCTGCTGGGAGCCCTCCAGGGAGCGCTGGGGTTCGGACGCTCGGCACCTCGGTGGGGCCTGGCACCTCCTGCCCCCAGAAAGCTGTGCGGGTGGACTTGGTTGTGACTCCGTACAACCAGTTTCCATTTGCTTTGCTTGGCTGGACCGGCTCGCGGGTGAGTCCCAGGGAGGTTCTTGGCTCCGGTGTGTGGACTTGGGGTGGTTTTGTATTCATTTGGGCGTGGTCTTAGGGGAAGGGTTGGTGTCCGAGGGTTCCTACGGAGCTTTCCATGCAGGTATTGGGGATGTCAAGTTAAGGAGGAGTCTGAACTGGGGAGCAGGGCCTGTTTATCTGTTTATATCTGTCTGTCTGTCTGTCTATATCTCTAATCAACTATTCTCTCTCTCTCTCATCTATTTATATCTGTGTGTCTATATTTCTAATCAACTATTACCTCTCTATCTCTATCATCTATCATCTATCTCTATCTCTGTGTTTGTATATCTAATTAACTATTCTATCCCTATAATCTATTTCTATCTGTGTATCTATATCTCTAATCAACTATTCTCTCTCTCTCTCTCCCTCTCTCTCTCTCTCTCTATCTCTATCT